TAATGTAATATAAACCAATTTAATCCGTTCAAATTATAACAATTAATAAACATATTGGTTTTATGTAGTCAGTCTACAAACTTGAATTTGTGAACTACGCTTTACCTATCTATAGGGGTTAAAACAACATTAAAAATTACTCTGCGATATACTCTAGCTGTAAATATAATATTATAATATAATAAAATAATATATTTATTTGTTTATTCAAACATACGGACGTAAATTCTATTATAGTTTTTAAAAACCTTGGTACGAAAAACATATACAAATTAGTGTACAAAAAGTGAAAAAGATTACAATACCAAAAACATAAAACTATTTAGTATTTCAACTAATGTTATGAAAAAAGGTTTAAAATATATTATAGTGGTACACTATAAAGATAATAGAAAAGTTACATAAAATCAAGGGGTACATGTTACCAGCAACCATCATCAAGAGGGATTAGCTAAGGAATTTAAAGTATATTTTTTTAAATGGTTTAGAGTTTCTGATGTATTTGTATTTCAGGACGATGAATAAAGTCTAATAATAATTTATGAAGAAATCTTGATAGTAAAAGCATTTGACGTTCATTGAGTGGCAAAAAATAATGACAATATTTTACTTTAATAACTTTGGGGAGATTTGTGAATATTACATTTAAAGGAGATAAAACGAACAAAAATATTTTGAACAAATTCTAGGGTCATTGAGTTTTGTTTTAATAAATTATTTATCAAAATGACAGAGCAGTATTCTAAATGGGAAGAAACAAGGGAGCAATATAGAATTTTCAAGGGAATTTAGGATCAATTWATGAGCCAAAAGTGCGCTTAATAAAGCCCAAATTACTCATAGCTTTATTCTTTGTCGTCTCTGCAAGGAGAACAAATTTAATATAGAATCAAAAATAATACCTTCCTAAATACTTAAATTGAGAAACAAGCTTGATATTAGAGTTTTTTTTAATTTTTTTTATTTATTGAAGTAATCTACAATCCATACATTGTTTGTATATTGAGTAGGTAGTTTGATAATAAATTGACATTTACAATTAACATGAATAATTAGAATAGGGAGGAAACCCAGTGGTAACATCTTATATGATATTAGAGTTAGAACTAAAATATTGATACTTAATTGGGTTTTTTTACCAAATAAAAATGCATAAATTTACATTTATTAACATTCAGAAATAAGTAATTATTACTATTTTATATTAACTTAGCATCATCAAAAAATAGAAAGATGTTAGAAGTTTTATGATATTAGGGAGGTCATTAGTAAAAATATTAAACAGAAATGTAGATAGATGCGGTCACTCTGAGGAACGCCAGAAGAAATTGGAGTATTATGTTTTTTGGTATGGACAAATTATTGTAAGATATTTCGGCATAAAACCAAATAGATTATTTGCACATATATATATATATGTATATATTATTATATTTTTCGACCACACACACTCGCGCGTGCAGACTTAAGTAAAAATGCACGGCATGGTTATGGTGGCGCCCAAGGAAATATTATTAAATATTGCAGGACTTATTCGTCATAGTTTAATAATTTTAATGTCGTGAAATCGAGAAGATAACGTATGACTATAGTTCGAGGGTGATGATAAAAATTGGACTCTCGCAAATAAATAAATGAATGAATACTCGATATGTGTGCCTCATCCGCCAGTAAGTTGTAAATCCTCGAAGGATCTCGAGTGTGCTATAATAAATCAAAAGCAATAAAACTTTACTATTGGGACATATTTTTTAAATTTTTTTTTTTTACTTCGAGTAGTATTTACCTGTTTTCACATACTGAGTAATACCATAATATTCCAATATTATTTTAGTATTTAGTCACACACCACACTTTGGTATTTTATAATACTCGCATTGAATCATTAAACTTAAATGTAAATATCTATTGTTTTGTTTTATTACTATAGATTTTTTATTCGTTGGTCGCTAAATTAATTAT